AAGAAGTTCTGACAGGTTTAACTCATAATCAGCTTGATATTGGGCCTAGAGGGTCAAACATATGATATGTGTTACGACGAGTAGAGGTTCGGATATGAGATATCCGTCAGAGCCCCTATATTATTGGATATCCAATAAGCTCCTGGATTATTGAATCCTATGGATGAGATCCAATAAAACCAATGAGAGATTATTGGGTAGAGACCCACTAATCTAAGAAGTTTGAGTAGTTGGATGGAGATACAGTACCCAATAGGGTAAGATCCATTAGGGTTAAGTTGACATAGGGCATCTATAAATAGGAGAAAACCAAATGGTCATAGGCTAAACTTCTTTTGGCTATCACTTTCTATTCTTCTCCTCAACTAGCAGCCCCTATTTGGGGCATGTAAACATTTGGACAATGATTTGATGAGCGTCTTCATTATTTCCTAGATTTATATGAATTGACCTCCTTCATTATTTCCTAGAGAGAAGGACAATTGACCTCCTTCATTATTTCCTAGATTTATATGAATTCATTATTTCCTTGATGAGCGTCTAACATTTGGACAACGTTAGAGAGAAGGACAATTGACCTCCTTCATTATTTCCTAGATTTATATGAATTCAGGGATATACGATCTCCCTAGATAATATAACTTTCTTATATGCATAGTTTTTTGGTTTCGTGGGGTTTTGCACATCAATCTTCGTATGACGATAAAAACTTTTTTATGAAAATCTAAAATTTTCTTTTCTATTCTTCCGTTGCACATGTGATATCACCCTAAAATTTTCCAACACTTACACAATCGGAACTAAATCAAGTCATGCCCCTTCCTTAGCCACAACATAAAGAATTACAACACTACATAATCTAATACTTTTAATTTTTAACGTTTGCTTCTATAGCTTAAATTTATAATTAATTATATTTAGACTCTCATTAATTAAAATAATATAATCAGTAAATAACATAAATGGATGAGGTCTATCTTATAAATAATTAGTAAATTCATCGATTATGAAATGATAGAGATTTAATGTGTATCTTTAATGTAATACTATAGGAAACACTAGACACACTCCCTATATATGTGTATATATATATATATATATATATATATATATATATATATATATATATATATATATATATATATATATATATATATATA